ATCTCTGTCAACACACGGCAGATTGTGGCGTATACTTGATCACAATCTCTGTCAACGCGCAGCAGATTGTGGCGTATAATTGATCACAATCTCTGTCAACACTCGGTAGATTGTGGCGTATAATTGACCACAATCTCTGTCAACACACGGCAGATTGTGGCGTATACTTGATCACAATCTCTGTCAACGCGCAGCAGATTGTGGCGTATAATTGATCACAATCTCTGTCTACACACGGCAGATTGTGGCTTATAATTGATCACAATCTCTGTTAGCACACGGCAGATTGTGGCGTATGATTGATCGCAATCTCTGTCAACACACTGCAGATTGTGGCGTATAATTGATCACAATCTCTGTCAACACACGGCAGATTGTGACGTATAATTGATCACAATCTCTGTCAACACACGCCAGATTGTGGCGTATAATTGATCACAATCTCTGTCAACACACGGCAGATTGTGGCGTATAATTGATCACAATCTCTGTCAACACACGCCAGATTATGGCGTATAATTGATCACAATCTGTCAACACTCGCCAGATTGTGACGTATAATTGATCACAATCTCTGTCAACACACGGCAGATTGTGGCGGCACCAAGGAGGAAGAGGTGCCAGAGACAGAGAGACGTAAATGCTGCGTCTCTGAAGATCTCGCTCTGCGTCTCGCGTCTCTCGCTCTCTACGTTGAACGCATCTTTGCGTCGCCCCGAGACATCGAGTTTGCTGTCGTCAACGTAAGTTATTTTACGTTCATATTTTTGTGTTCTGTGTGTTTTGTGTGTATTTTTTGTATTTTACGTTCATATTTCTGTGTGTTTATGTTTTGTGTGTATTTTTTGTGTTCAGTTTTGATCGAGAGAGATCGAATTAGCCATTTTGAAGTATTGTTTTTTTTTTCGTTTTGATACCTTACGTTCAAATTTTGGTATTTAATCTTTAGCAAAAATATTTATAGCCTAAGAGTATGACATAAATATGCTCGTCCGAGCGTTGTATGTTTCGTTAATGTTGTGTTGCGTAAGTATAAGAATTTTAATTATACATGGCATATAAAATATTACAAATGCTTGTGTGCATGTGTTTTGGTCACGGTTGATTCATGTAGATATTTGAAGTGTCTGGGTACTACAAAGGAATTGGTTTGATTTTGTTAAACGAAATACAATGAATAATTGAGGACAATTGAGTTACGATGATAGATATTAATCGTACGAAGACGAAGGCTACCCTCGCACTGCTTTGTATAGGTCACCTGCAGTTTCCTCATTCTCATTATTGATATTTTATTGGATATTGGTTTGCTGTTTTTAGCGCATTTTCTCATTTATGGACAAAAGGCACTATTTTGCTCGTCATGTCCGTCCGTCCGTCTGTCTGTATGTCTGTCTGAGCGTCCGTCCGTGATCACGTTTTCGTCGACGAGAAAATGCGCTCTCTGTCACTCACTGCAGTGAGTACTGAGTTATATTTTTTAACGATTAATATTGTTCTAAATTTTGAACCGAAGTATGTACAATATTTTGCATTAGTTTTGCCAATGTAATGTCGGGAATTGATTGCTTCCGTCGCTCCATGGTTCAGGACGAGATATATTTGCTCCAAGCGCGTCCTATCACCTCCTTGGAGCTATGGAGCGACTTGGAGCTTCAGCTGGAGCTCGACGACGCTGTCTTGTCGGACTCAGAGCTGCTTACATGCGCCAACACTGGGTGCGTCTGATCAACATTAGCATTATTATTATTATTACCATTATTATTATTATTATTATTTTTGTTATTATTACGTACTATTATTATTATTATTTTTGCTATTATTATTAATATTATTATTATTATTATTATTTTTGTTATTATCATTATTATTATCATAATCATTATCATTATTTTCAACATTATTATTATCATTATGATTAGGCGTTTGGCCGAGTGATGTCAGTTACTAAACGGCAAGTTTTATTTCACTGAAATACCAATTTTAGGAGTAGACTCGGAATTATTTGTTCGTAAACTTGGTTTTTCGGCCGTACAATCATTTATTATTTCAGATATTAAGAAGAAAATTTGTATTAACTTGTGTTTAAATTGTGCCTGATTACTAGGCTATTGAGATTATTTAGCTGAATATTTATAATTTAGTTTATTAAACGTGTAAAACGGTGGTATATCATGAGGCTATTGAGATTGTGTATCTGAATATTTAATTTTACCGTATAATTATTTTATAATTTAGCTTACTAAACTTGTAAAACGGTTATAGGGAGGTGCTACCGGGGGCACTAACCCCTCTGACGCTGTCGCTGGTGCCAAAGGTGCTGGACTTGGCGCTACAGCGCGTGCTGTGTCAGCGTAACTCTGTTGTAGCTTCTTACAGCCCTGACCCTGCCACCAACAAGTGTATTGCCATGTCACATCTGCACTGCATGCTTAACATGATGGAGGTATGTCTGGTCATGTCGCATGTACTGCATGCTTAACATGATGCAGGTTAAGGAAAGCCATGTTTAATGTTCAGGTTCTAGTAACTTAGCAACGTATGGAATAAACAGAAAAACTCAAGTTTGCATCCTGTGATTGATATTTATAGAACAGGCGCGTTTTGAAGATTATATGAAATGTTTGCTTCGCTTAGCGGACTTAGCAAATTCTTCGCAAAGCTTCATAAATTTTCTTGATCGGTGTCCTTTCCGTAAGATTTTGTACCAACATGTACTGCATGCTTAACATGATGGAGGTATGTCTGGTCATGTTGCATGCACTGCATGCTTAACATGATGGAGGTATGTCTGGTCATGTCACATCTGCACTGCAAGCTTAACATGATGGAGGTATGTCTGGTCATGTCACATCTGCACTGCATGCTTAACATGATGGAGGTATGTCTGGTCATGTTGCATGCACTGCATGCTTAACATGATGGAGGTATGTCTGGTCATGTCGCACCTGCACTGCATGCCTAACATGATGCAGGTTAAGGAAAGCCATGTTTAATGTTCAGGTTCGGGTAACTTAGCAACGTACGGAATAAACAGAAAAACTCGAGTTTGCATCCAGGGATTGATAATTACATAGAACTGGCGCGTGTTGACGATCATATGAAATGTTCGCATCGCTTAGCGGACTTTGCATCTTCTTAGCAACGCTTCATGAATTTTCTTGATCAGTTTCGTTTCCTTAATATATTGTACCACGCAACATCGCATCATAAATATTGTTAATTATTAATTTTATTTCGGATCTTGTACCGTTCACTGGACAAGGAAATAAGTAACGTGACTCAGAATTTAGACCCAGACATACCTCCAAATTATGTTAATGTTAATTATAAATTGTTATTATTTATTAATTTTCTTCCAGATCTTGTACCGTTCACTTGACAAGGAAATAAGTACCGTGACTCAGAGTTTAGACCTAGCAGTGTTCGGTCACCTGGTAACCGACGAGCGCTACCACAAGCGCGGGGTAGCGCGCTACGGGACCTTGTCGCTGGCAGCTAAATTATACGGAGCACTCTTTGCTTTATGGGTGAGAACTAATACTATAATAATAATACTATAATAAATAATATAATAATACTATATAATAATAATTAATATAATAATGCTATAATACTATAATAAATAATATNGCATTCTGGGTGAGAGCTAATACTATAATAAATAATATAATAATACTACTGCATATAATAATAATTAATATAATAATGCTATAATACTATAATAAATAATACTGTTTGCCTTCTGGGTGAGGGTGGTTTATTCACATTTAATGTATTATATTAGTATATGCTGGCAAAATTTGTTACTTTCCTTTATGAAACCTATTTAATGATCAGTAAATCACATACTAATAAATAATGTAAAATTGTTAGTTTGATATGAACAATGAATAATAAAAGCTTATTTTACTTATTTTTATCCTAACGTACAATATTCAGCATAGTAATTTTCCATTACAATAATGTAAAGTATATTTTTAGAATGTAATTTTCCATGATAATTATGCGTTGTGTATTTCTTCGGTATTGTATTGCACAATATATAGCGTTTGTATTCATTCCTGATACTTATAAACAATATTAAACATATTATTTCATAATAATTGATTATTTAATTATTTGAATAATTAATTTTGATTAATTTGACTATTTAATTTTGATTAATTTGATAGATTAATTTTGATTAAATTGATTAAATAATTTTAATCAATTTGATTAAATAATTTTGATTAATTAATTTGATAAGTGATTAATGATTAATTTGCATCTACATTGGCTTGGAGTGTATTAAAAGCATATATTATATACAGGAATTTGTGTACAACAAGCGACGTGTACCGGCATAAACAATATTAAACATATTATTTCATAATAATTTATTAATGATTATTTGCATCTATATTGGCTTAGACTGTATTAAAAGCCTATATTATATACAGGAGTTTGTGTACAACAAGCGTCGTGTACCGGCGCTACAGGAGCGCTGTAGGAGCTACTCCTTCAGGACGGGCCGCGCTGTCAAGGCGGGGGCGCTCCTAGCGCAGGTCTCTTCCAGGCTACCTGAGCTCATTGAGGTCAGGCTGATTAATGCTATAATTGAGGTCAGGCTGATTAATGCGTTAATTGAGGTCAGACTCATTAATGCTTTAATTGAATTTACGCTGATTAATGTTATAATTGAGGTCACGCTAATTCATGCTCTACTTGAGGTCACGCTAATTAATGCGTTAATTGAGGTCAGACTGATTAATGCGTTAATTGAGGTCAGGCTGATTAATGCGTTAATTGAGGTCAGGCTGATTAATGCGTTAATTGAGGTCACGCTAATTAATGCGTTAATTGAGGTCAGACTCATTAATGCGTTAATTGAGGTCAGGCTGATTAATGCGTTAATTGAGGTCAGACTCATTAATGCGTTAATTGAGGTCAGACTGATTAGTGTTTTAATTGAGGTCAGGATAATTGAGGTCAGGCTAATTAATGATATAATTGAGGTCACGCCAATTAATGCTTTAATTTTTATAATTTTAAGTCGGATTTTAATTGAGGTCGTTGGTTTCGTTTTATTCCTATTTTGGATTATGTTGGAATTTTTCAGTTTAATTAGGAATAATTTTTTATGAACACTTTTGCAATGTTGATTGAAAAATAGGCGATCTGAGTTGATCGATGTCAGGCCGCGTGGCAGCTTCTGAAGTTTATTATACGCATGTTTTTTTCGTAAGAGTCGAGACTTATAGTCTAATTTTGGAGATGAGTAGCTTTATTTCTTTTTAGCGCATTTTCTCATTTATGGAAAAAATGCACTATTGTGCTCGCCATGTCCGTCCGTCCGTCCGTCTGTCCGTGACCTAAAGTTTTCGTCGACGAGAAAATGCGCTCGCTGTCACTCACTGCAGTGAGTACTGAGTTATATTTTTTTAAGTTTTATTTGAATTTTTTAATTCAGATTTTGATGTTATTGGAAGAAGCGAGGGGCGCGAGCTTCTTGATGAAACCCTTCCTGATTTCATTCATTTTGACGCTCTTCAATTTCCCATCACATTTCGTTGTTGATGTACAAAAATAACATATACTGTATATGATGACGATGATAAAGAATATCGTAATTTTGGAAGAAGGTGCTAGAAAAACGCTACGGAAATTTTGTTGCAATTGAACAGAGGAATTTGTTGCGACAGAGGAATTGTTGACGCGCTTTCAACTTTTCTTCTGGAAAGGTTTAAATTTTTTCTGCATTACTTCTCCAGTTCTTTATTGCAAATTTTAAATATTGAAATAAGTGTCTCTTCTCTAAAAATATTCAGATTGCCGAGACACACAACCATTTAGTTCTTTATTGCAAATTTTGAATATTCAAAAAAGTATCTCTTCTATAAAAATATTCAGATTGCACACACAACCACTTAGTTCTTTATTGCAAATTTTGAATATTCATACAATTGTCTCTCTCTAAAATTATTCAGATCGCCGAGACACACAACCACACAAGTTCTGCATCATCCTTCACACAGCTGCTCGCTCTCGTCATGCTCTCCGAGAACAGTAAAAGTAAGGACTTTAAATCTTTATTATTTTGGGTCTGTAGAGTGTGTGATGATTGTATTATTAATAGATTTTTAAAACGTAATTGTAGGTATGTTTATTATTATATCAATATTTTATCTTGCGTCATTGACATTTGAAGTTCAATAAGACTATCTAATAAATGAATAACCATTAATTGTATATTGAAATTATTTATGTAGTGACATATGTACCTGAATATTTTATATTAACCATTTTTATGCCTTAATGTCTACAAATAGAAAGAGAATATCTGCCAAGTGGTATAAACAAATAGATAGGACCAATATGTTTTTTTTTATTAAATTTTGTAAAATTTTTTGATTATAGCTCATTTCGTACTTTCTTTTTATCTTTTTAAAGTGGCTTATGATATGATCGTTGAAGGGTGCAAATATTTCTGTGCTGTCGTTCACTGCAATTTTTCAACAGCCATTGCACTTGTTTCTCATTCTTGGAACGAATCTGCAGGTTGCGGCAACTAAACTTTATTTTTTTTATAACTTTTGAACATTTTTTCTTCGCATAAGTTATTGAAATCAGGAATCTTGAAACGGATCTACAGGAAGCAGCAACCAAACTCTATATTTTATAACTTTTTTTAAGATAATTTCCATTTATAAGTAATCGAACTCCAAAGCTTTTTTATTTTTCCATCAAATGTCCAATTTTGATCAATTTGATTATTATTTATTAAGTTAATAGTCATTGTTATTTTGTAAGCAATCAGCAACGAAAGCATCGCTGACATCGCAACGATGCTGGCATCATGCTGCAACGAAGCTGAGAGTACCGGTGTACCATCCGCCTTAACCGTGAGTGCTGAGTGCCTTAACCGTGAGTGCTGAGTGTCTTAACCGTGAGTGCTGAGTGCCTTAACCGTGAGTGCTGAGTGCCTTAACCGTGAGTGCTCTGTGTCTTAATCGTGAGTGCTGAGTGTCTTAACCGTGATAATTATGTTAACATTATACAATTATATGTATCAACCATAATTATATAATTTAATCGCAGTGTCAATTAAAGAATTATTAACCGCAGTATCTGACGGATGCCTTAACCGTGAATTTTGATTGCCTTGACCGTGATAATTATATTAACCTTATAATATAATACATATCAACCTTAATTACATAATTATTTAATTTGTAATCTCAGCATCAATTAATGAATTATTAATGGCAGTGTCTCACGGAGGAGATCAGCAAGGACGAGGAGCGCGACGAGTTCCTGGGCCTCCCTGTGGAGGAGGCGCGCGTGTGGCTACAGTCCCACCCTGGCCGCGTGGGGGACATCTTCCAGGAGTTCATGGAGGTCCATGGCCACCGCTGCATCAGGGAGGTCAGAGACATGGGTTACGGAGGTCAGAGACCTGGGTTACGGAGGTCAGAGATCTGGGTTACTTAGATCAAAGACATGGGTTACGGAGGGCAGAGACATAGGTTACGGAGGTCAGAGATCTGGGTTACGGAGGTCAGAGACATGGGTTACGGAGGGCAGAGACATGGGTTACGGAGGTCAGAGATCTGGGTTACTTAGATCAAAGACATGGGTTACGGAGGGCAGAGACATGGGTTACGGAGGTCAGAGATCTGGGTTACGGAGGTCAGAGACATGGGTTNTACACGTAGCGTCCTAAGTACACGTAGCGGCCTAAGTACACGTAGCGTCCTAAGTACACGTAGCGTCCTAAGTACACGTAGCGTCCTAAGTACACGTAGCGGCCCAAGTACACGTAGCGGCCTAAGTGCACGTAGCGGCCTAAGTGCACGTAGCGGCCTAAGTGCACTCTGCGGCCAATTTCTCGTCTGTGATTGGTGGGTGTAGCTTGCAAGGCCGTCAGTGTTTGGTTGAAGGAGTTACGATCTCGCAACTTATTTTGGTAGAACGGCCCCGAGTGGCCTGGTGGTTGACATCACCAAGATTGGTGCGGCGAATTGTGGGTTCAAAACTCGCAACTGCTCGTTAAATTTTTTTTCGGAATCGGCCGGGCGGTTAAGAATAGTCCAAAGGCCAACATGACAACTAAATTTAAACTCTGAATCACTGAGTTAATATTTTAAGCTCCAGTATTTTTCTTAATGGATCTAGCTTTATCTGGCCTTCTAATATTTTTTAGTTCATCTATCGCCAGCCTTATCTTTTCGTTCCGGAATTTTGATGAAATTATTACGCTAAAATAGTTAACTAATTCATGTTCTTTTATTGACGCTGTCATGCTTAGATGCTCCATTTCATTTACAAGTGGTCCACGAGACCATGAACAAAACAATTGATTGACTTGCAGTGTAATTATTATTTTAAATAATTATTATTATATATATTTAATTAATGTGTGAGCAGAAAAGCGCTAGGTTTCATTCTGCCCATGTGCCGAGAAGCCGTCCTCAAGAGGGAAGCAACCAAGTCCTGCATCATCAAGACCATCGACGCGTTCCGCAAGGCCTTCAGGTGAGAAGATTTTCCTGCCGTCCTTGCTTTGTATCCACGTTGCCGTTACAAATATTAAAAACTATTATCTTTGGAGTTTTTTTTTCAAATAAGTTAAGTTTTTAAGTTTTTTTTAAGTTTTTAGCGCATTTCTCATTTATGGAAAAAATGCACTATTGTGCTCGCCATGTCCGTCCGTCCGTCTGTCTGTCCGTCTGTCCGTGACCTCAAGTTTTCGTCGACGAGAAAATGCGCTCTCTGTCACTCACTGCAGTGAGTACTGAGTTATATTTTTTCTTCTTTTTGCTAAGTTAACTCCGTTCCATTTGTGAATTAGTTATAATAATAATAAAAGAATAATAAAATAATTATAAATGCTTTGATATTCTCTGTTCTCTTAAATATTCTTATATTGAGCTTTCCTATTCTGTACACCAACTTTGAAATCAAACGTAGACCTTTTAAGCTTAGTTTATTATCTAGATAGTCTATGCATTTAGTGTTGATAGTTTATTGTCTGGTCGCAAGTCAAGTGTAGTTGGAGAGTACTTTACCTACGTGCAAAAGGTACGTACGTAATGTAGTGTATATAATATATATAATATAAATATATACTATATAAATTATATAGTATATACTATATATACTATATAATATATATAGTATATATAGTATATATAACAATGTATTGGGGTTGCATCACCAACTTTCATGCATAAACGTGATAATTCTCCTGACTCAACCTTAACTTCCTATTAACATTAACAGTTTGCATTTTAATTATACGAATCATTGTGAACTTTTGGTGTTATATTCGCTATAAATAACGTATTATGATTCTACATTATATAATTTACAGGGTGCGTACCGGTCATGGAAAACCATGGAAAGTCGTATACGAGTCTGGAAAATTGCGAGTCGTATACGAGTCTGAAAAATTGCAAGTGGTATTCGAGTCTGGAAAATTGCGAGTCCTATACGAGTGACTCGTAATTTTCCAGACTCGTATACGACTTTCCTGGTTTTCCATGGTACGCACCCTGAATTATCAATTATATATGTTTGTTGTAATTGTTGTTGTAATTGCCCATCCTGGTAGTGGCAACTATGTAAGGGAGGGGGTGATAGGTCAGTTTTTCCGGGCACTTGGTGCCACTGGTAGTTCCACGACCATCACTGGCTNCATGACCGGTACGCACCCTGAATTATCAATTTATATGTCAATTATATGTCAATTATATATCGATGATGTCGTTTATCAGGAACCTGGGTGACCTGCTAGTGGCTGAAGGCCGTATCCCTGATCCCAGCCTCGTCTTCTACTTCCAGTTCCACGAGCTGTCCAAGCTTGTCAACGGCAGCGCCTCGCATCTAGTCACCAAGTAACGTATTCATATATTAAATTTTTGCTTTTTTTACCACACTTATCTTTAAGTTATTTCTTGCTTGTTTGTTTGTGTGCTACAAATCTTATAATCAACATTTAACACACTTCTACCTCTCCAATCGATCTGAGATTTTTCACACTTGCGTAAAGTCAGAGACAATGCACGAATCAGTTGACAGAATAAATGATTTTAAAAATTAAAAATAAAAAATTAAAAAATTTTTAATAATAAGAAAGTAATAAGTAATTTTGTCTGCTACAAATCTTATAATCGATATTTAACACACTTCTACCTGTTCAATCGATCTGAGATTTTGCAAACTTCCGTAAAGTCAGAGACAATGCACGAATCAGTTGACCGATTAAAAAAATTAATTTTTATATGTAAAAATAAAATATGAAATTCATTGTACATGTGCAACATCGCAAAAAACGGCCTCTTTAGAAGTGTGGTCTCTAAAAAGCATTTTTTAAACGCATATTTATTTATATCATAGCTGCCCTTCATACTTGTTTACATCTAGCCGGTGATGAATTCTGCACAAATTATTATATTATCGTTAAGCAGAGATCGAGTTTCCAAATGCGCCTAATATAAAGTTATTGATATTGTGGCTCAAATTTTTTGTTCTTATCATAAGCACACGAAGGCTGCACAAAATTTACAGCGTTAAGGCTCCATCTGACACAATATTTCCTTCTATTATTAGATTTTTTAATATAAATTTTTGTTGTACTTTTCTTGAATGTCATACTCGTTATATAGCCCGTATAATGTGAACATTATCTATATTTAACCTTTTGTCAGACTGCACAATTTTACAATGTTACTATCGTACCGAGTTTAGGTACGAATGTACCCATACAATCAGGCATGGGTTAAACAACTATTTTTCCAGGGCTATTCGGCGGAAGCGGATGGTTGCTCGGATGGAGAAACTCCGTTTTCCTGAGATATCTGAAGGACGGCCAGTACCGGTCAGCTTCAGTTGCATTAAAATTTAATTTTTTTCAGTTTCCAATAAGTTAAATAATGATATTGTTATGAAATAAACATTAATAAAATTGTGTTATGGACTTGTTTTCATTGGTGCTCAATTCTACCATATTTCCAGATGAATTACTACACGTTTTTTATGTTCGACAAAACGCGATCATAAAGAAATTTTCTATCTCATTATAAATTCTCCATTCCTCACCATCAATAGCGGTCGCTGTACTGATATCTTCAAAGCTGTTGAGGATAACATTTTATTCATGATTAAATAATGTTATTAATATTGTGTTTGAGTTCGGGGTGCCGAATTGTTAAGATCACAAAGATTGGGGTAGCGAGTTAGAAGTTCGCGACCTACAACAATTAGGTTATGGAAATTCTTTTCGACATCGGGGGCCATACTTTCAAAACTCGCTAAGTGAACGTAAGTACTTACGCTCTATATTTTTGTCTATGAATAGTGGATTTTGCTTGAAAGGCCGTCAATGATTGGCTGATGAACTTACCATCTCTTAATTGTGTTTGAGTTCGGGGTGCCGAATTGTTAAGATCACAAAGATTGGGGTAGCGAGTTAGAAGTTCGCGACCTACAACAATTAGGTTATGGAAA